TCTCTCCTCTTTCTCCCTTTCCCTCTCTCCCCTCTCTCTCCATCTTTCTCCTCTCTCTTCCCCATCTTTCTCTCCCCCTCTCTCTCCATCTTTCTCTCTCCATCTTTCCCTTTCTCAATCTCTCTCTCTCTCCTCTTTCTCCATGTCTCTCTCCATCTCTCCCTTTTTCTCAATCTTTCTTTCTCCCTCTTTCTCTTTCCCATCTTTCTCTCCTCTCTCTCCATCTTTCCCTTTTTCTCAATCTTTCTCTCCCTCCCTCCATCTTTCTCCCCTCTTTCTCCCTTTCCCTCTCTCCCCTCTCTCCATCTCTCTCTCTCCATCTTTCCCTTTTTCTCCATCTTTCTTTTTCTCTCTCTCTCCCTCTTTCTCTGTGTCCCTCTTTCTCTCTCTCTCTTCCATCTCTCCCTCCATCTCTCTCTGTGTCTGTCTGTCTCCATCCCTCGTCTTACCTGTCTCCCAAAAGGGATCCTTGGGACGAGACCCCCGGCTCTTCACCCCCCCACCTGCTTCAGCCTTAGAGATGGCAGCTTCCTCTGGCCTTACACCCAAACAGCCAGGTGGGGGCGGGGGGGGGGGGGGCACGGTCTCCCCAAAGTCCCCCCAACTCTCTCTCCCCCCCTCCCCACCATCCCTTCTGCCGCCCCCTGCCTCATTTTAAACCTTCCTCGCCCAATTCCGCCCGCTTGGGCCCATCGTCCCCCTCCCCAGAGTGCAGGTGGGGGGGCTCCTGTCATTGGGACCTTGCGGGGGGGGGGAGGGCAGGCATGGGTGACCCCCCTCCCTTCCCCCCCTCTCTTTCAGCCTCTCACCTGGATCCCCAGGGGCTCCCCCTTCCACACGGCCAAAGTCGAAGTGGCCTTCGCTGCCCCTGGGTTGGAAACCCGTCTCCATCGTCGGTGGCTGCCAAAGGGGACCGGCGGAGGTGCGTGCCCAGCGCAGCAGGTAAAATAAGGGGGGGGGGGGGGGGCAGGTGGGGGGGGGGGTCATGCCAGGGGGGGCCAAGAAGGAAGCAGCTCCGGTGGCCTAGAGGTGGAGCTCTTGCCTCACAATCAGGAGGCTGTGAGTGTGATTCTAGGTAGAGGCTAATAATTGGAAAAGGCTCTCCTGCTTGAGGAGGGGGTTGGACTAGGTGACCTCCAAGGTCCCTTCCAACTCTTCGTTATTCTATGACATTTCTATGAAGGAAGCCAGGAGCGTTTGCAATAGGAACGGGCACGTTTTGGAAAGCAAAGCAGGAAAAGCCACTAAAGAAAAGAAGCTTAACATTCCCCAAGGATGTGTTTGCAGCTGGTCCTCACCTTACGGCCGTTTGTTTAGTGACCATTCAAAGCTGCAAACGGCCCTCCAAAAAAGACAACTTGCGATTGTGACTGTTTTTTTAATCTCACTTATGACTGTAGCGGCATCCCCGCAGTCACGTGATCAAAAATCTGGCCGCTGACTCATATTTATGACGGTCGCAGCTTCCCGTCATCCCCTTTTGCGACCTTCCGACAACAGGGAAGCCTGATTCACCGAACAGTTGTGTTGCTCACTTAACAACGGTGGTGATTCACTTAACAACCGTGGCATCAAAGGTCGTAAAATGGGGGGGCTTCAAACTCACTTAGCGACCGTCTCACTCAGCGGCAGAAATCTTGGGCTGAATTGTGGCCACAAGTCAAGGACCTGTCATTTAAGATGCAATTGAAGGATGCAATTCATCCCTGGAGGCTTTCAAAGAAGAGACTGGACCGCCCTCTGTCAGAAATGGTGTAGGCAGGGTCTCCATCTTGGACGGGGGCTGGGGTTGGACTAGATGACCTACAAGGTCCCTTCCAACTCTTAATCTCCTCCTCCTCATTATTATTGGTTAATCTTTAGTGAGATTCACAGCCGTTGGGGTTGGTGGTTGGTAGCTCAACAACTTGAGTCGTAACCAAGGACCTAGGAACTGGTATTCTCCTCCTCCTCCTCCTCCTCCTCCTTCTTTCCTCCTCCTCCTCCTCCTCCTTCTTTCTTCCTTCTCCTCCTCCTTCTCCTTCTCCTTCTTTCTTCCTCCTCCTCCTCCTCCTCCTCCTTTCTTCCTCCTCCTCCTCCTCCTCCTCCTCCTCCTCCTCCTTTCCTCCTCCTCCTCCTCCTTTCTTCCTTCTCCTTCCCCTCCTTCTCCTCCTCTTCCTCCTCCTCCTCATTATTTTATTATTATTATTTTATTATTATTTTGTTATTGTTAATATTGTTATTGTTATTACTATTGTTACTATTATTACTATTATTATTATTATTATTATTATTATTATTATTATTATTATTATTATTATTATTATTATTATTATTATAAGACAAACCATCCCATCTTCCATTAAATAGTGTGTCCTCTGGGTACAAATATCTTGTGCAATAACCATTAACATTTAAAATTAATTCTAATCTAGTCTTGCGTTGGACTAGCGACGAAGTGAAAGATAAAAAAAAATTAAAATAAAACGCCAACTCCTTCCTGTCCCTCCAGAAGCTGCTCCCCCCCCTCTGGGAGAGGCTGCCCATAGTCCAGCCATTGTGGGCACACGGTAGACGCCGCCGTGCCGTCTTCCTCCCTCGCCCTGCCCCAAGTGGCACCAAGAGACTGGCATCCAAGGCTGGCCGTGCCCAAGAGGACCAAAGCCGCTTGACCTCAGCTTGGCTCAACTTCAGGGTAGAGAAGGACCCTTGGAAGCCAGCTGACCTGGCCCGAAGGACCCTCCAGAATCTCCCGGGCAGTGCCAGCGTGGTCCCTGGGCATGGGCGTGCCACCAAACGAGGCGCACGACCACCTCTGCCCAGCGCAACCACAGATGCCGGTGCAGCACGCAAGGCCGGGTGCCGATGCCCAGACAGCCAGCGGGCTACCGTGGTGGGCCAGCAAGCGGAGGCTCGTCCGGAGGGTCTCCGTGTGCCCACCCCCCGCACAGAGGAAGCGGCCTGGGCCGCCAGCGCTCTGATTTTCTTGCTGGTGCTCCTGACCCTGGCTATACTCTACACCCGTCTGCACCGGAAATGCCGCCGCGGGCCAAGCCTCTACTGGATGACCAACAGCGAGGAAGGGCGCGAGACGGTGGCCAGTAAGTCGGGCCCGTGGGATCAGGGTGTGTTTTGGGGGGTGGGTGGGATAGGGGTGGGGTGGCAGATGCGCCCAATTTGGGGAGTGTTCTACCGAATACAGGCAGTTTAAACAGATTAAACAGATCATCAGAGTCGGAAGGGACCTTGTAGGTCATCTAGTCCATCCCACTGCCCAAGCAAGCGTTCTCGACTTAATGACCCCGATGGGCATTCTTAAGGACCGTGCAATTCATTTCCCGAGCGCAGGGAGCTGCTTAATGAGGTCAGACGAGGTCATAAAATCGGATGCAGCTGCTTCATTTAGTGACAAAAAAGTCCCAAGGGAGGTTGTTGAATTGAGAACTCCTGAACGTTTAGGAAAAGGGCAAAGTTAAAAAAAGGGGGGGGGGCACGGTTTTGATCGCCATGGCAGGTGCCAACCAATGTTCTGGGGCCAGCCTTTCTCAATTGTGGCCCCTTTAAGACTTTGTAGACTTCAACTCCCAGAATTCCTCAGCCAACGTGGCTGGTGGAAGAACTCTGGGAGTTGAAGTCCACAAGTCTTAAAGGGGCCATGGTTGAGGACTTCTGCTTTAAGAGGGGGGGGGTCGCCAAACTCCCAGAATCCCCCTGCCAGCTGAGAAACGCTCCTCTGGCTAAAGCCCCCCACCCCCAAAGTGGTATGGAGGCCAGTTAGCACTGGCAGAGCCTTCTGGACGGAGCCAGTTGGTGCCACCCTTTGATGCCATCCTCTCCCTCCCTCCTTTCTTCCTTCTGTTGCCTCTCCTTGCTCCTTTCCTTCTTTCCCTTCCTCTCTCCCTCTCTCCCTCCTTCCCATTCCTCTCCATTTCCCCTTCCTTCCTTCCTTTCTCCCTTCCTCCCCTTCCCTTCTTCTTATTCACTTCCTTTTCTCTCCCCTTCTTCCTATTCCCCCCTATTTCCTTTCCTCCTTTCTCTCCTTCCCTTATTCCCTCCCTCCCTTCCTCCTTCCCATTCCTCTCCATTTCCCCTTCCTTCTCTTTCTCTCCCTTCCTTCCTTTTACTCTTCCTTTCTTTCTCCTTTCCTCTCCTTCCCTTCTTCTTATTCCCTTCCTTTTCTCTCCCCTTCTTCATATTCCCCCCTATTTTCTTCCTTCCTCGCTCCCTTCCTCTTCCTTCCTTTCTCCCTCTCCTTCCCTTATTTACTTTTTCCCTCCCTTTTTCTCTCCCTCCTTCCTCTCTTTATTCCCTTCTTCATATTCTTCCCTCCCTCCCAATTCCCTCCTTCCCTTCCCTCCTTCTCTTATTCCCTTCTTATTCCTCCCTCCCATTTTCCTTCCTTCTTTCCGTCCTCCCTTCTTCTCATTCCCCTCCATTTTCCCTTCCCTCCCTCCCTCCCTCCCATCTCCTTTCTTCTGCTCTCCTTTCCTTTCTCTTCCTTTCTCTTTCTGCCTTTCTCTTTCCCTTCTTCCCTTTCTTCCTCTCTTCTTCTTCCTGTTTCTCTTCTTCCCTGCCTTCTTCCCATCTCCCTTCCTTCTCTCCCCTTATTCCCTTCCCTTCTTCCCTCCCTCTCTCCCTTCCCTTCCTTCCTTTCTCCCTCTTTCCCTTATTTACTTCCTCCCTCCCTCCCTTTTCTCTCCCTTTTCCTCTTTATTCCCTTCTTCATATTCCTCCCTCCCATCTCCTTCCTTCCTTCTTCCTTCCCTTTCTCTCCTTTCCTGTCTCCTTTCTTTTTTCTTCCTTCCTTTTTCCTTTCCCTCCCTTCCCTTATTCCATTCTTCCCTCTCATCTCCTTTCCTTCCTTCCTTTTTCTATTCCTTTCTCCTTTCCTAATTCCCTTCCCTTCTTATTCATTTCCTCCTTTCCTTCTTCCCATCTCCCTTCCCTTTCCTCTCCCTCCTTCCCTTCCCTTATTTCATGTCTTATATTCCTTTCTTCCTTCCTCTCCCCCTCCTTCCATTCCCTCCTCTTATTCCCTCATATTCTTTCCTTCCTCTCTCCCCTTATTCCTCCCTCCCCTCTCCCTCCTTCATATTCCTCCTCCTTTCCTTCTTTCCTTTCATCCTCTCTCCTTCCATTCCCTTATTCCCTCCCTCCCTCCTTCCCGTCTCCCTTCCTCTCCCTTTTCCTTCCTTTCTCCCTCTCTCCTTCCCTTACTTACTTCCTCCCTTTTCTCTCCCTCCTTCCTCTATCTTCCCTTCTTCATATTCCTCCCTCCCATTTCCTTCCTTCCTTCCTCTCCCTCCTTTCCTTCCCTTCCCTTCTTCTCTTTCTCCCTTCTTCTTATTCCTCCCTCCCTGCAGCTGTCATGAAGCACCGTCTCTTCTCGCGCACCAGGCGCACCAGGCGCCCACGGCCGCCGCTTCAGCCGCCACAGCAGCCGCCACAGCTGCTCCTGCCCAGCTCCTCCAGCGAGGACGATGACAGCGCCGCCTGAAGGCCTCGCCTGGCCCAGCCTGTCCGGAGGGGCCACCAGCCCAAAGCCCACCGCCCAAGGAGGGAGGGAGGGAGGGAGGGAGGGAGGGAGGGGCTCCAGCCATGACCGCTGCGTTCGTTTTTCATACTCAATAAAGTATATTTTCCTACATACAGCTGCCCGAAGCACCACAGGTGTTCTTTGCACCATCCTCCCCCGCCACAGTCCTCCAAAGACTTCACATTACCCCCGTCCACAGCTAGCAAATCATGTTTTAACTTGCTGCACAGAATCCTAGGGCTGGAAGGGACCTCGGAGGTCTTCTAGATCAACCCTCTGCCCACAGGAGGAGACCTTCAGGGGGGGTGGGATTCTACCGGTTCGCACCGGTTCTATGGAACCGGTTGTTATGATTCTGCGCAGTTCGGAGAACCGACGAATCGTGCCCCTGGCTGGGCCCACCCCTCTCCGTCCACCCCTCCCCTCCCCGCCCAGTCAGTCCTTATCGCGCATGACTCCTTAAGGCCGTGATGGCGAACCTGTGTGGCTTGGCACGCAGAGCCATTTGGGCCGGCACACGAGCTGCAGGCCATCTTATCTCCCTGCGCATGCGCGCACCTCACAGCTGATTCTCGGCCAGTTTGAGGCCTTTTTTGGCCTCCCAGAGGCTTTAAAAAAAAAGCCTCTGCAGGCTTTGCCGGCCGAATAATAGGCCTGTTTCGTCACTTCCTGTTTTTCTGAAAATACCTATCGTGATGAAACGGGCCTAGTTTTTGGCCTGCAAGAAGCCTTCCTCAAGCCTCTGGGAGGCTGACAAAGGCCCCCAACCAGCCAAAAGTCATCTGTGAGGAGTAGTGCAAGTTAAGTGGGTAAGTGGACGGAGATTGCGCGTGCATGCGTCGGGGGCTGGTGGGGGGGGGGCATGCATTGCCTTCTGGTTCTGGCACACAAGTGCAAGCCTGCAAGCGCATGCATCATTTTTGGCACAGGAGCCCAAAAAGGTTTGCCCCGGAGACCTTACATCTGTGTTGGTGAATCTATGGCATGCGTGCCAGAAGTGGCACATGAGAAGTCGCCCAGAAGAGCCACACTGGGCATGCGTGCGCATCACCGCTGACCGACAGCTGATGATTGGGTATCTGGCGTGCATGTGACATAAGGCTTCTTCTTATTCCTTCTTTCTTCCCTTCCTCCCATTTTCCTTCCTTCCTCTCTCCCTCCTTCCCATTCCTCTCCATTTTCTCCTCCTTCCCTCCCTCCCATCTCCTTCCTTCTTCTCTCCCTTCCTTTCTCTCCTTACCTTTCTCCTTCCTCTCTTCTTTCCTTTCTCCCTTCTTCCCTTCCCTTCTTCCCACCTCCTCTTCCTTCTCTCCCCTTCTTATTCTTCCCTTCCCTTCCTCCCTCCCATTTCCTTCCACGAGAAGGAACACTTGACCCAGGAGATTTCGACTTGACAACTGTTCTTTAAATCCCCGTCCAAAGTTGCAACGGCACTCAAGTCTCTGGCTCCTCGCACTTACGACCGTTGCAGCATTCCCACAATCGTACGGTCTAAATTCGGGTGCTTGGCGACCTGCATTGCGTTATGATGAGGAGGTTGCCGCATCTTGGGAGTCGCGCGACCCATTATTGGCAAGCTTCCTGGCTGGCTTCCCGACAACGGGGGGGGGGAGCCAATTTGCTTAACGACCATTTGATTTGCTTAATGACCGCTAGCGATTTAGAACACAGAATAACAGGGTTGGAAGGGACCCGGGGAGGTCTTCTAGTCCAAACCGCTGGCCTAGAGACCATTCCAGGGCCAGTGGCTGTCCGGCGGTCTTCTTAAAAATCCGCCAGGAATGGCAAAAATGGTGGCAAAATTGGGCAACGCCCTTCGCCTCGCTTAGCAGCAGAAATTCAACTCCCAGTTGTTGTAAGTCGAGGGCCGCTTGTGCCTTATGGATGACTGGATTCAGCAGTCCTCATCCGTGGCATCTTTCGTACGTATGGACTTCGACTCCCAGAATTCTCTCTGGCCGGGAACTAGGAATTCTGGGACTTGAAGTCCATACACCTGCAAGGCACTGTGAACTCTAAATGCTTCAATTCAAAAGACGCAGAATTGGCACCTCGCCCCTTTTTAACCCTTCCTGTGAACCTGGCAGCCCCTCTTAAAGGTTGCTGGCCCAGTGCCCAAG